CACCCTGCTGTGTGTCACACTGTCGCCGTGTTGGTGCACAGGCACGTGCGGTCCTGTGCTCATCCAGTCTCAGTCACACAGCCTGGCCGGCCAGCGTCACATGATCATGGTGTACAGAGTCACAGAGTGCCCAGAGGGGTGTGTGTGTCCCTGTGATCCTGGCCAGCTCGCTTCCGGAGAAGGCCACAGAGTCTCGGCCTCAGGTTCTTGGGGCCCAGCTCCTTCAGCTCCTGTGCAAAGATGGCCTGCTGTTGTGTGGTGACCGTTGGCATGGAGCCCTGGGCAGGAGCCTGGCTGAGCCTCCACCCTCTGCAGGGCCTTGGGACTTCGTAGAGGGAGCTTTGCTGGGCTCTGCTCCTGTCACTGCCCCAGCTGTGGGGAGGCAGAAACCATCTCGGCAGCTCAGTGCGGCCCTGTAGGTGTGGCCCCTACAGCCCCTCCCTCCGTGCCTTCCTGTCTCCCTCTGCCCACCCCTTGGTGCCCAGTGTACCCCAGCAGCCCTACAGAGCCACACAGTGGGTCTCCACTGGGTCTGGGTCTGTGGAGGTCTCAGGAGAGGGGCTTCTCTCAGTGGTCTCTAGTGGGCCTCACCTGGGTCCTAGGCATGTGACTTCATCCTGGTCACCACACTGGACCACCCCACACCCACCCACCCTCTGCTGCTGTGCGAGTGCACAGGGCAGTGCTGCACTTGAGCTCCAGGGACACAGGGCGGGCATTGCTCATGCAGAGCAGAGGCTGGTACTGTGAGAGTGTGCACACATGTGTGAGGAGAGTTCCTGCCACGGACGCAGACGCGCCCCCACTGGAGACTGAAATGAGGTGACGCGTTTGCTTGAGGAGAGCAATTAAACACTTGCACCCCTCTTTTTGAACTCAGGAACAAGCTGGCTCCACAGAACAGATATAGACTGCACATCTGTGAAGTCACCAGGCAGGTTTCTTTGTGTCATTAGCATAAATTAGCATGGTTGCCCCCTAATGTCAAGGAGAGGTGAATCCCCTATGCACCCAGGTGATCTCTGTCCATGTTCTGGGAGGGTTGTGATTACTGTTCCGACTATTGGCTGGGCCCTGGGGAATGCACTGTGTGTCGGGCGGGGGTCCTTGAACAGGGACAAGGCTCAGACCTCAGCATGGAGGGCCATGGAAGGACCAGTGTCCCTTTTCTCAGGGTCGCAGGGCTGACAGCAGAAACAGCCACTTACGAAGCCCCAGAGCAGTGCAGGCCTGGCTGAGCACATCTCATTTTGTCGCTGGCATTGGCTTCAGCCTATGGATGAGGTCAGAGCAAAATCCACCTGTAGTCTTTTGCATCCTGCACCAAGCTAGGCACCAACCACTACCTGCTGTCGCAGCTCTGTAGGGCAATGAGCTACATGCTGTGTGAAGTCCTCACTTATATCATGGCTGAAATAAAGCACCATCGTCCCCCAGTGACCCTCAGGTCTCAGAGTCACAGAGCAATTAAGACTTGCAAAGAGCTCTCCAGGAACAGGGCTGGACACAGAGCATGCACTCCTGAGCAGCACCCTTGTCACCTATGCTCCCAGGATCTGCCTTCCTCCTCATAGCTCTGTGCTCCTTTCCCTCCTTCCCTCTGTCCCACTGTCTTGGAGGAGGAGCAGTGCAGACCCTGCTGAACTCAGAAGTGTGACTTGAGTGGTGCTGACAGCCACTGCCTTCCTGTTCCTCCTTCTTGGCCCACCTCCCGCTGTCCAAGTGCATCCTGACCTGGTGAACTCCTTGGCTTCATGTCAGCCTAGAATGAGGACAGGCTTGGTTTGGCTCTGGGTCTCAGTGTCACGGTTTCGGTCCACAGTCACTTGGCTCTATGGCTCTGCCCCTGTGGGAGGCAGGAACATTGGTGGAGGAAACTGCTCGCCTCGCCTTAGCCAGGAACCAGGGAGAGACGGGGAGAGGCGGGGTCCCACGATCCCTAAGGCCACACTCCCAGTCACCTCGCTTCCTCCCCCAAGGTGGCACCGCCTCCCAGTAGTGCCACGGGCCGGGGCCAGACCTCCCGCACAGGCCTCTGTGGATGCCACAGGTCCCAGTGATGGCACCTGAGCTTTCTGCGTCTGTCTCCGAACCATTGGATTTGCCTACCCATGTCAGGACAACTCGTAATGTCTTCTTTCAACCCCATTCAAGTCACGCTTACTGCAGATTTCCCCTTTCAGCCAGAGTTTCAGCTTTTCCTTCTCTGTGCTACTCTTCTCATTAGCTTTGGTCCTGGTCTCATGCTGTGGCCCTCAGGTCTGCCTGCCAATGCCCTGCCTGTGCTGTGAGTTTCCCATACCAAGGAACCATGTATTTCCTACAGTTCCCTTCACCATTCCAAGGGCAGAGCCCAGGAGATGACTGGCTTCAGAGACCCCGTCATGAGAGTTTGAGTGATACCTTAGCACAGAGCTTCCACAGGGACACCTATGGTGGTGAGCAGGTGCTTTGTGTAGATAGAGTGCCCGGACCCCGGCCTCCCCTCTTTCTGGCCCCAGGCCTCCTGCCTGTTCCCATACTTCCTGCTGCCCCAGTCCCCTCTGTGGAAACCTTGGGTCCTTGGGGTGCATCAGCTCCATGGGTGTGGGCACTCATCTCTCAGCTGCCTTACCCACCTCCCCAAGATCCTGGTGTGGACAGTAGACACAGAGAGGGAGTCAGGACTTGGGAGCTGTCACCTTCAAGAGTAAACATCTCCTATGGGGTTGGCAGGCCCCACGCCCAGGACCACAGCTCTGGGTACAGATTTTAAAACACAAGTCTGCTAGTAATAACATTGGGGCATTGGGATGTGACCTGGATGGATGGAAAGGGCAGATGTATCCCTACTGCCTCCCAATCTGCCGCCCCTTCACTACTAGAGACCCAGCATGGGGGGCTTCAGGTACCCCCGAAGTTATTCACGTCCTGTCATTCTTCACCCCAAGGGTACTTGTGCAGAACTTCTGCATGTCCCTTGATAATTCCTCAGGTGCATCCAGTGGCTGCGGTGGCCTGTGCAGGGAAAAGCATTGTCAGACATCCCCAGTAGCAATGACTTTCATTCCTGGGTCCTCAGCTCATAGCACACAGGATGGCGGTTCCCTACGCTCTTGCCAGAAATACAGTATTGTCTAAAGGGTGAGGCCCAGTTGTGTTAATGATTCAGCTGGAAGTGGCATGTGCTGAAGACCCGTGACTGCCGATATTAGGACACCGGGCCGCGCTTCTGTCCGGAGGCCTCTGAGCAAGCACGGGCGCAGATGTGAGCACAGCAGGTCGGCCTGTGTACCTGTGGTGGAACTTCATTCCGTCTGTGGACAGAGACTGCTGCTGGGGTTGGAATCAAAGCATATTCTGGGTGCACACGAAGGGTTCAGAGCATGGTGAGGGGCCTGTGTCCCCTGGACAGCAGCATGGCACTGACCTCTAGCTGGCAGGGGCAGGGAGCTGGCCAAGGTGGGCACCTTTGGGCTCTATGTCAAGATGTCCCCTGCTCCTTGGAGGTCCAGTGTCTGTCTTGGGGCCTTGACCGTCACATAGATGTATGTAGCACTGTCTTCCTGAGCTTCACACATTGCTCTGGGACCAGGAGTAGGAACTTCCTGATGAAGCCATGTCGAGGGCTCCCTTCCCACAGCTTCAGGTTCTCTTGGGTGAGGCGGTGGGCACCACAGCAGCCCAGGGCAGCAGGTGGTTCTGTCTGGATCCACAGCCTCGGTCACCTCCTGGCACCATTGCCGGGTGACTTGCAGGTCCAGTGTTCCTGTCTGAAGCAGCTATGCCTGATGCGTGGCTTCCAAGGGCTCCTACAGCCCTCCCTGTTTCTGGGTCTGGCAGGCTGGTGGGGCCATGGACCTTGACACCCACTCCTGATTCCCACCCTAGGAATGTGTGTGAGTGCCACACCGTGTGCACAACCTTCCCCTCAGACTCGTGCTCTGTAGTATGTATCTAGCGGCACCTGGAGGCTGCCCATCCGCGCAGCTGTGGCAGCCTGGGGAGCTGCCTACAAAGCTCCGTGCCACTGGCTGCCGCCCTCTGGTCTTCTGGGAAGGCCCTGGACTTCACGGCCTATAACTGCAGGAAGAGGGGTCCTGTGTGTTTCAGCTAGCTTGGGAGCAGGGCCTGCTCCAGTAACATTGGTGACAGGACATGTACATGTGCCTGGGTCCCTCCCACAGGACCCGTTCCCAGGACCTCGAAGGGTAGGGGCCCCGTGCTTTTAGATCTCGAGAACTCTCACATGCTCTCCCCTCTAGGGTCCTCACAGCATAGAACCTGTCGTGTCCAAATCCCTCCACTTCTCCAGGTGTCCCTGTCACCCCCCCAACCTGCTTGTCTCGTGTCCCTGCTCCCCTGGACTCACTGTTGCCTCTGACGTTTCTGTCCAGTGAAGCCCTCCCTGTTCTCCAGCCCCAGCCCAGTGGTGGTCCCTGTCAACTTCACCGTCCTGGTGATGAAAGTGTGGTGGCCTCTGAGGTGCTGGTCAGGCTGGCAGCACTGCCCAGAGTGGAGTCCACAGGGCAGGGGCAACTGCTGCCTGGAGCCACCCCACCTCCTGCCCCGAGGTCTGGCTGCCACCCCATGCCCACCGTGTACCCTGACCACCATGCACTGTGGGGTCCCCTTCTGTAAATGAGCACATGACCTCAGTGTTGCTGTTGTTCTCACAGATTACAGTCATGGACCATTTGTGGGGACTCAATCAATATGTGTGTATTTTAGTGTTTTTACTGAAATATAATATTCTTTTTTCACAGTTTTTATCCTGGAAAGGGATATAACAGAGTTGTGCTTGAAGTAAAGGGTTAAATATTGCAATTGAGGGGTGAAACCTGGTCTCCGTACCTTGCATGTGAGCCGTGTGCAGGTATGAAGGCATGATGAGTGCCTCGCACAGGGCAGTGAGACTGTGACTGTTGTCAAGCACAACCGGAAGATGTGTGTCAGATGCGCTGGGGACTGGCTGGGTCCCCACACTCCTGGGCTAATGCTTCTCCTCTCTTCTGTTGCAGAGTCACAGTGCACCCTCTGTGGAGAGCCGGAAGGTGAGTACCCTGGCCCCTCACCTGCGCAGGTGGGGGGCACACGTGTGCTCATGGGGGAGCGGTGGTGTGGGCCTGCTGGGAATGCTAGAGTGTTGAGAGGCTGAAAGCATGTTCTTCTTGGTGCCTGCGGGAAAAGCAAATAACCCACAGCAGCACATAGTGCTAGGTGTGAGGAGTTCATTTCTAAGGAAAAATCAGTATCATAGCCAGATTGCAGGATTTCCTTTTTGCTGTTTTGAATTTGCAGATTTTGGCCAGCTTTCTCCAATAGTAGATGTTGACACGTTTATGGGCTTTAAATGTTTTAGCGAGTTTCTGTGACTGCACATTCCATGAGACGGTGAGATGCGCCTGGCCACCAGCAGTGACTGGACCTGGGGGCATATAGGGCCTTGCTGGCCTCAGTCTGGATGAATGGGCGGCCGCCTGTGTCGGGCTGTTTTACCCAGAGCTGCAGCTGCCCAAGACGCACTTAAGTGTGGAGCTGCCGAGCTGTCCCAAAACGGCCAAAGCAGATTGGCAAAGCCTTTTCCTCGGTGCACTCAGGAAGGATAAGGAAAACATGGTAAATAACTGGCTTCTCTTGGGGTGTATCAGGTCCTGCTGAGTTTGGATTTTGTAGTCTGCTTTCAGCAGAAAGAGGCAGATTGGCTAAAGAAAACCAGTGAAACCTAAGCTGGGAAGACAAGCTGTGGAGTCAGAGTCAGCAGGTCCCAGTGTCGGGGGCCTGGGGTCCCTGCCCCAAGAGCCGGGGCTGAGGACTGTGTGTAGCTTGGGCTGAAGTCCCCAACCCACAAGCTGAAACGTTAAGTACAAGCTCACTTGGGAATTCAGCTTGGTGGTAGCAGGCATTTGGTGAGGTTTTGGATTCTTCCTGTGTGGTTGAATCCATGAGAAGACGGAGACACGGCCACAGTGCATCCCTTACCTCACCTTCTAGAGTGTCAGGCACTGAGCCTAGTGTTCCCAAGGCCACAGGAAGGTGTGGACTCTGGACCTGTGGTACGTCCTCCTCTGGGTCTGTGACGCCCTGCACCTGTTGGATGTGCTCTGGACACTTGAGAGTTTGCTATTTTCTGTCGCTGTGGCTTTTTGTTGCCCTGGGGAATGTGCCTCCCGTGTTTGGTTTTGTGTAGGACTGTGCACTCCTGTTGGGAGTTCCTAGGGCACTGTGTGTGCTCTCCAGAGTGGGTAGGAGTGCAAGCCCGTGCTTTTGTCTGCGTATCACTAGTGGCCCAGCTCTGTCCTCTGGACAGGCTATGTCGTGTGTCTGCTACTGCTGCTGTGTACTCCCTGCCACTGGCCCCTAGCATGGGGCTGGCTCGGTGAGGCCCCACTGTGTTCCTGGATGCTGCTGTGTCTGTGACCATCCCAGGTGGCAGACAGAGCCTGAGTGGGCCCCGATCTGCCAGACCAGCCTCAAACCCCCAGGGTCTGCATTTTGAGAAATAGGTGCCCACTCAAGTGAGGGCTGCAGACCCAACAGCTGGGGTTGCAGGGCCTCTCATTGTGCTCCCCGAAGCCTGTGGTGTGGCTTCCGCGTCACAGTGGTGTCGGGTGCTCGGCCCACACCAAGTGCAGGAGTGGGAGTGATGAAGGGACAGGTGTGACCTCGTTGCGCCATCCAACTGGGCCCCACACAGAAGGGGCCCCAGGGTGGGGGCTGCAGGAGGGCAGAGTGGGCCTGCCACTCCTCCGGTCTCCCCCAGCACCCAGGTGTGCTGCCTGGGAATCGCTCCGAATCTGGGCTGTGGGCACGGGTCTCAGCTGTGCCTTCCTCCCCAGAAGTGCCACCCTATGAATATTCATGTGTTCTTAAATCATTTAGGTAATTAGTCTGAGTGTATGCTGGCTGGATGCAGCCATGGAATTTGAAATCAGCTTTTTTGTTCAGTAATTTCTCTGGCAGCATCGATCAGTTAACTCCTAACGGCCCCAGGAGCAAGTGAGCGTACTGGTCAGGCAGCCGGCGGGAGCTGGGTGGAGAGCTTCTCTCCCTCCTCAGGAAGCTATAGCAGCTCTCAGGCTGAACCAGCCAAGTGGAAACACCTATTTGCATTTTAATGATCAGCTCTTTTGGAGAAAGCTAGTTCTTTGGACACAGATTGAATAATTAGCATCATCTCAGACGATAATATCTGTCAAGCAAATGATACTAGGAGCAAAGTTCACAGAATCCTGGAGACCTCAGATTCTACAGCTGCAGGTCCTTGTCATAGTGGGGACTTTCTCAGCAAACCAGAAATTTAATTGGTATAGAATGTGGATCCCCACCTCAGGATGCCTGTACTTGCACCATCTATATGTGAAGTCAGGAGCCCGGGGAGGTGGAGGTGTCCATGGACGCGCTGTCCCTGCTCAGCCCTTGCCCCCTGGCAGGGGTGGAGAAGGCCCAGCCGGGGCTCTGGAGAGCAGGTGCCTATAGCACAGGGGCTAGGTCTTAGCCAGGACCACATGGTCCCCATGGGGTGGCTTCTACAGCAGTGTGTTGTACACCAACCTGTCCTAAACTCGGTAGATGAAGACTGGTTACTAAGAAAACCGCCCACTGGTATAACACCTTGCAGGTTTGCATGAGCCTAGCTGTTATCCTCTGAGGGCTCCTGTCAGCTTCCAGGCCCTGGACAGGACCCAGCAGCAGAGCCTTTTGTTAGTTTATCTTCCTCCCGCATGACAGACCCTGCCAATTTAATATAGGAAGATAATTTAAGAGTACATGGTCTTTTTCAAACTTCACTGGCAGGCAATGGTACAGGAAAACAATGTGGACCTTAGGCTACAGTGCCAGCCTTGGACTTGTCTGTCTGTTTCCATTTCTAATTCATTCTCCCCTCTCACAAATAGGTTTTGTTGTATGGGAAGATGGAGAAGGGTGCCTGGCCTGTTAGGAGAACTTACTAGAAATCCATGCCTGTGCACCCACCGTGTCTTAGATCTACATTGTTTAATCAGATTAAAGCCAAGAAGCAGTAAGTTACTAGGACACGAGTTTGCATGCAAGACTCTGCTGTGTTCAGCGACAAATAGCCCTGGGCTGCAGGCTGAGAGCTTGACTTCCAGAAGCAGGGACATGACTGGTCGCCTCAACACATACTGGGTAATTGGGAAATGGTGAGCGAAATTCCAGCACAAAAGCAAGATTCAGGTTTAAAAAATGTATCTTTAGAAGCTTAAGATAAAGTGTTCCTGCTCTAAATCTGTTTCTTTGTGTTTCTGTTTGTTTACTTTGATTGTTTGAAAATGCACAAACTGGTCTGGAAATTTTGGAGTGACATACATCATCTTACATTTTACTACAAATAGGAAGTATCTTCTCCCTTCGTAATACATGCTTAAGAAATAACAAGGAGTTTTTCTTGTACTTAGTAGCCTTACATTCTTGCTTTTTCTAAATAAGAGAAATTCAAGATTTTCCCCCGAAGTGACTCTGAACAAAGAAAAATCTCACGGTCTCTGTACCTAGTTGACTGTGTTGTCTGAAGATTTTGAGATCTCTAAACAACAGGGCGTAATGAGGCTGCTTCTGAAAAGTGTGGGGGGGCTTTCTGTTCAGGTCCAGCTGGGCCCTGCTCCCTCCCCACCCTCGAGGGTGTGGCTATGTCAGCTCTCTCTGGGCCTGAGGCTGAGCTTCCCAGCCTGTCCTCCCTGGGTCCACATGACAGTGTGGATGGGGCACAGAGGCTTCTCTGCCTTCTCAGTGTGCCTGCAGGAACCCAGGGTCCCTGGGAACAGGGTTCCCTTCCCAGCAACTGCCGCCTAGACCTTGACACGTGGTTTTTGTCTTTTGGAAACCCAGCAGCATCCTCTGGGGTGAGAGGAGATAGGGCTGTGACGGAGGTGACCAGAAGTGGGCAGACAGAGTGGCATCAGAAGCTGACCCATCCTCCAAACCCATCAAAATGCAATGTGACATAGAGTGAAATCCATTTCAGTGCATAGCTGAGCTTGAGTGAAAACAACGAGGAATCCCCTGAGCCCTGAAAGTCAAGAATCTTAAATCAGAGGACCAGCAGCGGTTTGGGCTGAGGAAGGAGCCCAGGAAGGAGCAGACTGCTCTGGAGTTGATACCCTCAAGATTAGAGGGGCCTAGGGACAGGCAGAGGCATCTAGCCATCAAATTCATGGCCAGTGCACTTCCCTGCCTTGAGAAAAGAACCTGGAAACAGCACTGGGGAGGTATAGAGGGGTCATCCCACGCTGGGGCTGTGGGCCAAACGCAGCATCACCCATACAGGATGCAGCTCCAGGCATGGATGGGAGCTGTTCATCATGGGAAACTTTACAGCCAGAGCCCAAGGGCCCCAGAGGGCTGAGGGGTCCTCCTTCCCACAGGACAGCCCACCTAGATAATCAGATGAGGAACCTGAAGGGTGAGTGAAGACAGGGCTCTGGAATAAGGAGCGCTGTGCACTGGGAACTGCAGACCTGTGTGGCATCAGGCAGTGTAAAATTATTAAATGTACTCCCTAAAGACAAAGGAACCCTGATGGAATGCAAAGCGTAGACTGAAGTAAACAGTAGATGGGAATAAGATGAGTTATGACAGTTGACCGGTATTTGAATATTTGAAGGTGGGTCAGACAGCTGAAAAGAGAGTTAGCAAAAGGGAAAACGGTGCAAGGACATTTCCTAGAACTCTGCTCCAAGTCTAAAGCAGAACGTGGAAGAAGAGTGGAATGCACAGCAAAAGGCTGTAAAACCACAGATGAGCTAAAGAGAATGAGAAAGAATGGGGAGGAAGGAGGAGCTGAGCCTCGGCAGGGACTGAAGCAGTAAGTTGCCTCTTTGATCTAAATGTCCCCAAGACTGAAACCAAGTAAGTACAACATACTCCCACCTCCTAAAGCGAAAGCGTGGAGTGTGACACAAATAGATCGTCTTAAACGTAGCAGAGAAGACACAGCAGATGGACTGTGAATTCCCATTGTAAGATCCAGTGCCTGATGCTTTAGAGACATTAGAGGGTAAAGGAAGGCCACACACTCAGAGTGAAACAGAAT